CGGGGAGCTGGGGCTGTGTGGGCAGACAGGCCCTGCTGCCTCTTTCCAGGGCACAGGGATGGAGGCCGCAGTGCCCAGGCAGGAGGAGGGTGCGAGGCCAGCCCTGCTCTGGCGCCCGCCATGGCCACGGCAGGTTCCTGGGGCTGTGTCCGAAATGCCATGTCTGTGACTGGGGTTGGCTGAAAATAAATCCGCTTTGATCCACAGTCCTGCAGCACTGACTGTTTTGATCCTATTGCAGTTTCTTGATGTCCTGTGCTTTCTATTGTTAATTTGTGTTTTTTTTTTTTCCTCTTCAATAAGGACGTTTACCCTGTGAAATGTGAAATTCTGTTGCTCAATTTGATGCAGCACTTCGCACTGACAGCTCTGGAGCAGAGTTAGGTTCCAGGGAGCGATCACCGGTGGCAGAGACATGGACTCTATGGTGATATTTAGCCTGTCTCCAGGGCCCTCTTGGCCACTGCTGAGAACTGAAAGTAGCTATTTCAAGTAATATTTAACTTATTTTTTTTTTGGAGGGGGAGTGGAACAGACAGACAATGAGAGTGACCGTGGGGTCTCTCATCTTCATAGCAGTTTGGATTAATTGGCAGCCAGCCTCTCTTCTTACAGTTGAAGTAGCACTTCCTGCTCCCCCGCTCTGCCTGAGTAATGAGTGATACAGCTACCCGGCACCCAGACGGGCTGGTTTGTCTCTGCCGCTTTGCTCTGTGTCAGGCTGCATTTTCACTGCCTCGTTTGCTGTGGAGGTTTCTGGCTGTGTTTCTCTGGCTTGCAGGAGGAGTTTGAGCCCTGTGGCTTGTTTTATTTTTCACTCCATAATGAAAAATAAGATCCTTGCTGGGGGAACTCAGTGACTCAGTGTATGGGTAATGGGATATGGAGCTTTCCAACTGTGCTGCCAACAGCACCCAGCTGGGACACAGGAGACCTGGTTTTATGGCTTGCTTTGCTGCAGGCTTTCACATTTTGCTGTTACTTCCCTTTTAATACCTCAGTTTCCCTATCTTTGAAAGGGAATGATGACTCTTTGCTCTTATGTTTTTAAAAAGGCTTCTGGATGGTGAGTGCTTGTGCAGTTTAATGTTACTGCTGTTGTTATTAAGACCTGTTTAGCAGCATGAGAATGGGCAGGATAATAATTCATGAGACTTCTTATAAGGGTTGCCATATTATGTAGCATTAAATATTGTCTCTGATAATGTTCAAGACAGTGTGTGGCACAGATGAGAAACCCTGCAGCATACAGACATAAGAGATTGTCTCTAACGGACTGCCTGTACAGCAAACTGCATGTTGTATTATTTAATGGTTTTGGGAAGAGAAGAGTCAAGCTACTCTCAAGGTTGGAAGTTGAACTCTTCTTTCATCCCTGCAGATGGTTGCTGCTATCGTAGGCCGAGGCGCTCTGGCTGAGCACCAAGCAGGAAGTCTGTGCAGCCAGTGCACGTGCTGTGGATAGGGGCCAGGACGGTTGAGCCAGCATCTTTCATCAGTGCTGAAATCAGTGCTCGCGTTGGATTTAGTTTTGTCATTTCCTCAGTAAGGTGATGTGTTGAGCCATGCTGAATCCAGCCTAATAATGCTGTTTAATACCAGGGAACTCGTGTGATAAATCATGTTCAGAGGCACGGATATAGTATATAGGGCTATATGTACTGTCATATATGGGTATTTACTATTGGAATGTTTCACAAAAAAGTGAGCATCTTCTACTGGCATATGTCAAGGAGAAGGGAAAGATTAGTGGGGCGCCCTGTTCATTTGTTTTAATACAATAGCCAGCACATTTTAAAATCTTGTCACAGCTCAGTGTGTATGAGCAAGTGGGTAATGCATATGAGCTATCTCCAGATCTCAAAAAAGCAAAACAAAAAAAGCTGAGAAGTGCTTTATTTTCCCAGAAGGCAAAAACTTTCAAAGTTAACTAGTACATGCAGTACTGGCCTCTCCTATACTGTGGTTGCTGCAGAGTTTTCACTGATTTTTGTTGTGCTGACTTCAAGCTAGTTCATGCTTATGCTTCAGGCAATGGCAAGTGAAGAAATTATCATGGGAACAAGCTCAGCTGTGAACCTACAGTCTGTTATACTCCTGGGTAACTAACTGTGTGTGTGCACATCCTATCCCATGGTAAATGTGAAGTGTTTTAAGGTAACTTACTCCTTGATGAAAACAGTAAATTTGCCTTGCTCTGACATCAAAGGATGCATGTTATGTGGGCAGATACAATAGGGAAAACTAGGTAGATGTTAATTTGAAATTTAGTATCCTCCAGGGTGACTTGTTTGTATGTCCTTTTAATAGTGAAGGTAATGTTTTAATATATGCTGCCCAGGTAAGATGGAAGTGGTAGTGGGGAGTCAGCACAGTGCTGTGTGCATTTTCAGTCTAGGAGAGCAGACGTGACAAAGGTACTGCCTGGCAAGTGGAGTTAAATCTAGTGCGGACAGACAGAAGTGCTTAGGCTGATGGGCGTAAATCTGTCTCTCTCAGACGATGCATGGGCTATGAGGATCCTCTAATATTGATTTTATCTATAGAAAATCAAGGTTAAACCTAACATTGTGGGGAGAATCAAGTACCAGGTTGACCAAGGTATGTTTTGTTCCGTGCTGCTATCGTTGGCTCTGCTCAGAGACTTTGAGCAAGTGTACTTGAAAGGAAGTGAGTCCATTTTATATATATATAAAAATATATGTGTGTGTGTGTGTATATACATATACATGTATGTATATATATATATGTATCTTGGAGTTGATAGGTTATGAATAGTCAGATATGGACTTGATCAGGTTGGGAAAAGAGCAACCAGGTTTGTACCAAAGGGAAATTCTTTCTTCCCTCCCTCAGTCTAGGGAATTCTGCTGTTGTGCTGGAGCAGCCCAGTGGCTCATAGAGTACACCCTGACAGCGTGTGTGTTTCCAGCACCCCTCATCTGATGAGCCTGTTGCTTAAACAGTAACAAACTGCAGCATCCCTGTGATTCAGAAGTGCAGCTATTCTTGTTCCTCTCTCTTGGCAATATAGGCCAAGAGATTTGCCTCATGTCTTGGGTTTCGTAGTAGGAAATTGGAGCCTGATCCAAGAGACCTTGGTCTGTGATATTGTTATAAAGCCACGCAGGCTTCTGCCTGTGCTTGTTGCCGGTTGGTTTTGTTGAGTGGAAATGTAGTACAAGTCAAATACGCCTTTTTTTTCTTTCTTTCTTTCTTTTTTTTTCCCCTTTATTACTCAATAGATACAGCTTTTTTCAATGACCTTTTTCTCTCGGCACTGAAGCAAACTCTGAATATTTACCTTCAGTTACCTGTGAATGATTTTGTGTCCTATGGAGACCGTTTGATGAAACAATCTTGATTGTTCAGAATGCATTGTAACTTTGGGTAAGATACATGTGCAACATAGGAAATTCTGAGTACAAGTGACCCCTTGGTGACTTGGGAGAATGTTTATGCAGTACTCCTTTTTCCTCCTGTTTTTGCTGAGCTGTGATAGAACTGGCAGATTTGAGAGGGGAATGTTGGGGAGCGAGAGGGAGCAGGCAGCGTCTTCGCTTTTGTAGAATAGGTCAGAAGGATGGGCAGTGTTACATATTATCCGTTTTGATTAAAACTGTGTGCTGCAAATGCCTGAGAGGTGAAGAATTAGAACATGTTCTCTGCTGCTTCAGGAAGGATTTGAGAGATGTAGCTATCCTTCAGAGATTCATAAGGGGGTAAAGGTTAGAGTAACCATTAAGGCATGGTTGTTTTATAGCCTGCTCTAGATGTGAAGATAAAATGCAGGTAGGTAAAAATTGCTTATCCAGAGATGCACAGCAAACTGGGGCTTGTCAGCATAGAGGAAAATTGCAGCCTGAAATTTCTGATAGGACATTACTACAGAATGGCTGTTCTAGTTAAAGTTGCTTTTTATTTCCTTATAATTACAGAGCCTCTAAAACAGGAAATAGCTGAGAGTCAAAGGACATATGAGAGAGATGGGAACTAATGCAGAACAGCATGTTGCTGTTAATCACCTTGCATGAGTAAGCCCTTTGCAGAAGACTGGGGATAGAAGCAGAGACTTTAGAAGCCATCAGCCTTAATCCAGACTGCGAAGGAGTGGCCATACCCTGCGCAAAGGGAGATCGATTTCACTACCTGCATTGAGCCTTTGAGCCTTCTTGCAGCAGCCATGTCTGATCTATGGATTCCTATTTGCTGACTTCAGCAACCTTTGGAGTTGGCTGAGCTCTCATCCCTAGAATCATGCCTCATTTTGAAACCTTAGGAAATACCTAATGAAACAAGCCAGGATTTCAGTCTCTTAAGAGAGGAGCTCTTAAGATAGTTTGAACCAACATCAGCCTGCTTCCCAGGGCTTGCTGAAGTCTCAGAGGGAGAATTTAGGAGGTGAAGGAAATCTGAAAATTGAAATAAATGTCTTCTTCCTCCCTACAGAATATCTTACCCTTGAATGATAGGCTAGGCTGGATAAGGGACATTGTGTGCCTGGACTACAGTGCAGAGAAATAAGTAGCTGTGCCAGAGGAAGGCCTTGTGCTTAAGGCA